ATGATTTGGGTGGGGGAAAGAGCAAAACATCCTAAATACCAGATCACCCTGGACAAGATCTAAAATACTAAACATCAAAAGACCAGGACAAATATAAGGAATGTTGCCTGGTACCAATTGGTACCTGGGAGCTTCTCTGAGCAGAATTCCACAAATGGTGATTCAATCCCAAGAAGTGACTTCTCCTGCCTGAACAGTCTTGGCCTTCAGGCCGATCTGAGTAGGCTGAGGTCTTTTTAATCATGGGTGGGGAAAAGAAAACCCTTTGGAGGGTTGACTTCCTTCAAGAGGCTCAATGCCATTGATGAGCAGGCTCATTCCAGGGCATGAAGCTGGCGCCTTCCTTCTAGAACTCCATTCATTCTCAAACACACACTCACACCTTTCTCCATCTTCTTCACATTCCATTTTCTCACTTCCCCCTCGCTGCCTCCCATGGACAAAAATCCAATTTGGCCCAAAGTTTCCTCTGATGTAGACTTCAGTGCTTTTTTCCTACTCTTTTATTACCACACTGGATCCTTTTGTAGAGAGGGCTTCACACACCATTTGGGGGCAAGAGAGCCATCCTTTTTGTTTCCAACAACTGCCTTGAAAATCCCCACAGAGACACTACTGCCAAATTATACTTTTAAAAACATCAAACTCTTGATGACTTAAGCCCTCATTGGGGTCTTTTCTTTGGCCCCCCCGACCCCCACACACAAAAATCAAGTCTCCCCAGGAGAAAAGGTCTTTCAGAAATGCAGCTAAAAGCCAAAAAGCAGTTAGAGCAAAAAACATTTCCTTCTGCCTTCACAGAGAGGTTGGGGAGGAAAGTGCACCTTGGATCCTTTTCATCTGCCTTGCTTTTGATCAAAGGGCAGGGTAAGTGGAAGAAATGCATCCTTTCACTGGCATTTCATAGGCCAAGACCCTTGGGCCTATGAAACTGGAGAGCTGATGCCTCCACAAATGCAAGATTAACCTCGCAGAAGAGTCTGAAAGCAGAAGGTGAAGTGGGGTGAAATACATTCAACAGCAACTGGAGAATGGAAAAACCAAGAGGTTTGAGGGACAAATGGGTCTTACTTTAAAAGGGAGGAAACAAGGTGGAAAGAACTGTGCTCTTGCTTTGCTTCAACCTAAACCAAAACTAAGAACTCTCATCTTTGTGTGCAGCTGTCCTACATGATGAGGAACCACCAGAGTTGTGGCTTGGAGCATTTTCCACAACAGTGTTCTCAGGATACCCAAGACAAGCCCCATATACCCAGGATTGATGTTGATCATTGTGAATTCATCACCATGGATGGATTCAAATCTTCTGCTCATCTCAGTATTCTGAGATAAATCCCTAACTCATCTTGCAAAGCTATTTAAACAATCCTTATCACTGATTCCCTAAGCTGGTTGTCTCCAGAGGGTTGGAGGCTACAGCTCCTAGAATTGCCAGAACCTTAGACTTTTTGAGAGTTGTACTCCCAACTCATCTGGAGTTGGAAAAGGCTGTTGTTAAATCAATACAGAATATGAACGTCATATAGGGCACCTAAACATTAAGAGTAACATTTCAGAAAACAGCAGCTGCCTGATATAACCAAGCTAGTAAATGAAGTGGCCTTTGGCAAGAACAGTGCAACTCCTCAACTAAATTGAGTTCTGTGAATATGGAACCAGCAGGTTGAACACGGCGGGACTCCTCTGTGCATTTCTATAGAGCACGTTACTGCAATGGCACATGGTCATCTTCTAGTCAATAGGCTCCAGGAGACAATATATTCTTTGGTGAACTTTAAATGATATGCCTCTTCCTGTCACTTCAGGCTGGTGCTGCTGCTGCTGATTTTTCATTAATTTAGCTTTACGGCCTCTGCTCTGGCCAGCTCAGGCCACACACTGCGGCCATTTAATGGCTGAGAAGTGGGCGGCCAGTGATTGGGTGGAAGAGACGAGATCGATCTGTCTTCCACAATGAGTTGTGTTTGAAAATGAAATTGCTGCAAACAGAGATCAAATCCATTCCCCAGCAGAGAGATCAGCAGACCAGGGCATTTGCAGGAGGAAGGGGTAGATAGTGCTGTTTCAGTTGACGGAATACTTTCTCCCCGGGCAGCAACATCGGCGGAAATGGATGTAGACATTATTAGCGGGATATCATATTGCATGTCTGTTCCCAAAATCCTAAGTACATCCAGAAACTTCCATCTTGAGACTAAATACTGCCTATTTTAACCTGTACTTTCTCCTCCATTTTAAGCCTTCAACCAGGGGAGTTTCTAACCAACGTTCACCTTTTTCCTTGCTGTTCTTCCCTCTGCTCTTTGGTGGAAATTTATCTGTTGATGACATCAGGATTTGTGTAGATTGGTGCTCCTGGTAAAAGGGCTGTCTGCAGGTGGATTTGTCCATCCTCCAACCCACTCCCAGGCACAGATTTTAATCTTCTCAATTCTCTGTGCACTTACAGGTCAAAAGGCAATTATGAAAAATGGGGTTTGCTCCCAGTTAATTATGCACTACCATTTTCACAAATTGCTGGAATCAGGTTATTTCTGGTTTAGATAAATCATGGATTGGTTCAGAAATAAAAGAACCTAAACCATTCTTTTTAATTACTGGGGAGAGCCCAGAACTAGAAGGAAGAACTCATGTTCTACGCCCAGATCACTTCAAGGGTAATTCCTGATATTTCTAGGTAAAGCTCAGAGCAATGAGCTCACAACCAAAAACACTGAAAATCTGCTATCAAGCCAAGCCAACCAGCCTTTCTTACTTGAATGTCCTCCAAATGGGTGGATTTACAGCTCCTACCTGGGTGTACTAAGGATTATGGGAGTTGTAGTATACACACAGCCATCCTCATACCATGGGAATAGATAATAGTGAGCTGAACGGCAGTTGAGGGGACAGTCTAGCCAGCTATCCACTGGTGGAACCAACCATGATTAGCTGTTGATCTTGGAGGCTTAATATGTCCTACTTCAAAAATATTGGGAGGAAATTGGCATTGCTGGTGGCTGCTATTACTGCAAGATACGCCATGGGCCGGGTATAGGACAGGTTTCAGCAGCAATGGTAGCCCATACTGGGGTACCAAACTTTTAGCAGTTTCCAAGGATATCAAGTGTCCTACTTGCAATGAATTGTAACTGTTGCCAGAATAAAGTCCAAATTATATAATGTAATGAACAAAATCCAGCAAATCGACAACTGACAAGCACCTTTTTCCAGAAAATGGAATCCTGGAACTGAAAACTCCACTCAGCTTGCTTTGGAGTGTTTCCCCTCATGAGGACAGTCTTCCTCATGAGTAGTCCATTACTCTTAAGAAGTTTTCTTCCTTAGATGACCAGTCTTTCACTTGACCAATGCATGAATCTAATGCTTCCACCTCATGGCTTCTAGGCATACTTTGGTACCCATGGTCTTCTCTCTCATGGCCTTCTAGATCTTCCTCCAAAGAGGAAATACAATGGGAAGGGGGGGGGGGTCTCTGACCTTAACACTGGACTTCTACCCCTCTTTCCTGCAGCTGTGTTAGAATGAGAATTAAAGTGTCTATGAGAAATAGGGCTGGACAGGAATTTGTATGAGAGAATGGGGTGGGGGAAGGGAGATGACAGAGAGAGGTGGGTTCCCCTGAGAAATAAAGCTAAACAAGATATTGAATTGGTTTTCCACTGTCCTAAATCATGATCTCTATTTCCATTATTAAAAAAAGAAGTGGCATCTTGTTCAAGGAACCACTTCTTAATTTAGTAACTGAACATCAATAACCCATTAAGAAGAAACTAATTGCTATGGCTTCTCCCTGGGCATTGCCTTGGTAAACAAAGCAGTGAGATAATTCACTATTAATTGTTCTGCATTTGGAAGAAGTAAGGCAGTATATTTCTGTCTTGCTTTCCAATGCGCTGAGTGAAAGCTCCATGATTAGGAGCACTCCATTCTTCTTGCTTCAGAGAAACTAGAAAGCATTAAAAAGCAGCATCTGGTTTTCAGTGAGTGGAAGGAGAGGACGGGGGGGGGGGCGTAGGAAATTCAAGAGGTGGAAAGAAGGCACTCTTGAGAACATCAAATAAAAATGTTTGACTGATATCCTTGAAGATCACAAGGCTAGGTTCATACAACATTTTAAACCCAGTTGTGTTAACAAAACACAACTACTGTGTTCCTATATCTTATTACACCTAAACAGATAAAACCATAATATGGCTTAACATCATGGCCAGTTCACACAACATACTAAGACCATGCATGGCGAACCACAAATTACACCCCCCCATTAGCCCAGCCTGGCATGTTGTATGAACCCAGTCAAAGACTTTCAAAGATCACCTGGCCAGAGAAGAACATTATTTCCACCATCTCCTCCTCCTCCTCCTTTTTCCCCATTTCTACATACACATACCACCTGCTCTCCCACCCCATCCAGACACAGAGTACCAACATACCCTCACCACCACCACAGACTGGTAGCCAACACGTACCTCCACCTGCTGGCAGATCTGTATCAGTTTGGCCATCTGGTTTTCTAGCTCACTATTGCGCTTAACCAAGTTGGTGAGGTTCATCTCCAGAGTTTGCTGCCAGCATCGAAGGAAGAGGGGAGACAAAGGAAACAAAAACAAAGAATAAGTATCAACATGCCACAGAGACTGGATAAAGCTAACCAAAGTTTCCTAACAATTCAAATGCGGGGCAGCAAAACTAGGATAGTCACTGTGGTGGAACAAGCTTCTTGAACATAGCCCTGTAGCTGGACTCCATAGATTTATGCTCTTTCTAAGGAACGAGCAAAAGGAAGCTGCAGACTGCTTTCAATTCATCTCTTATGTAGCACAACAGCTGTTGGGTACTTTTCTCCTACAAGGCTCACCCTCCGCCGTCATTGGCTGAACTACCATGATGTAACAGAATGTTTCCAAACATGCTCACTTCAAAGCAGAACATGTTCAGAAAGCTAAACGCTGCTAGGTTTTGCCAGACCTGAAGGATCATAATTGGCCAGGGAGCAGAATGAGAGACGCACATGATCAAGTAAGATATGGTTGAAGACCCGGGAAACGACCATGAGAAAGTCAAGGACAAAGGAACAAAGAGGTCGAATGCAAGGAAAGGGAGAAAGAATAATTAAAGAAGTGGGGGGGGGGGGGGTTTATTTTTCCAATTTTTTTTTATATTTTCTTTAAAAGAGGAGTAGAGCCCCCCCCCCCCCCCAATCCTAATAAACTAGGTTTCCTTAACTGGCAGTGCTGGGAATAAGCTTGAGTACTGCCAGTGCTGGTCTTGCATAAACAAGCTGTAGCCTACTTGATCTACAGACCTCAGGGACCAACAAGTGTGATAGAAATGCTGTAAATAAATGCAAACTAAGAAACAGATCCAAAAGGAGGTCATCGCCGGGGAAAAGGGAGTAGGAGTCGAGATGGTGTTGAGGGGGGGAGGAAGATGGTCTGGAGCTACGAAAAAGAGACATGGCCTGTTTCCAAAAATGGAGCGCATCAAAAAGCTTCTGTGCTGTATGGATCAGCAGAACCCAGCCTCAAGCAGCTGTTAGGGTCCAACGCATGAGTCTAAACAGTGCAAGGTGGGGCCACCTCAGCCTCCTTTTAGTTGCCCCCGGGCCCCGTTCAAATGGGAGAGGCCAAAGTTGGAGGCCTTCTTTCTTCTGCATTTGGGGGTTTTTGCAGGGCAGAATGGGTGCTTTAAGCCTTGCAGATGCACCATCCACCAACAACAGCCTTGGCGCTGCCACCTTGGGAGGGCAGCCTTTTGTACACTAGACAAAGCCTGGGGTAGCCCTCAAGCCAATGGAAATGGCACACTCTTGGCATGAGGGAATGAACAGCCCAAAACGTGCATTCAAACAAACTGGACAAGGGGAGGCTGGAATGCTTCCAGATACACCCACTCCAACAAAAAAGATCAAAAGATTAAAACACAAGAACCTGGAAGCTGCTTAGCCCAACTTGCTGTGTCCCCATGTTTAACTAAAAGATTATGTGCAGCTCTATTCCTCCAGAAAAAAAACAAAAAACCAATAATAATAATAATAATAATAGCCTTCCATTTGCTGCTGCAGAAATTGCTTGGCGTTCATGGTTTGCCGCACCAGAAAATATTCAAAATGCACATTTTATTCCTCTTCCCACCCCCACAAGTTACCGGAGTGTGGACTTTGCATCTCGGGTTTCTCCATTTACAGTGTGTTACACAGGAAAATAAATACAGTTTGTGCCACAGCAATCTCGCTTTTAGTTTTCACTTTGCTAACTTCATTTATTTCCCCTGTGACCTAGGAAACCTTGGGCTGCTGTGAACCAATTCCTTTCTTCTTTTTTCCTTACGTGTTATTAAATGGTGATCTGTTATCACAAGATGCCAGTTGATACAAAGTTGTCTGGGACAGTTTTGTCACACGCATCCTTTGACCACCCATCTTTTGAACACTGGTTTTCGACTGCAATCTCTTCTGTAAAAGCACTTTCCTATTATATATAAAAAAAAAACCTCTCACCCCCCTGGGTGGTCTGTGTCTTCCTCAATCTCGGGTCCTCTACCAGAGGCGGGGGGGTTGGGGGGTTCTGCACAGGTTCGGAGCGTTTCCTA